ATGTAAAAAATCGTAAGATTATTTCAAAAGATTCGTAATATTCATGATGATAAAGTACTTTAATGTACTCAAAACAATTATGTCATCAATTATTAGAACTAAGATTTTAGCAATTACTTATATCATTGCAGAAAACAGTATATAATCTTTAATTCGGATATATTATAAATCGTAAAGGTTAACATCGTAACAGAATCGATAAACTAAAATATCATCTTCATTAATAATCTTCCATTAAAAACATTGATGTAATAATGTTTGTAAAGTATCGTTTGTTGCATCATTAAACTTAAATTCAAATCTCATTACTTACATGATCAAACCTTGCTTTTAAATAATAATGATATGATATATTAGACAATTTTTGAACAGATTTATTCTTATTCGTTACAAAAACCATTATATCTACCTTTAAAACTATATATATATATATAATCTGTTCTGGTCTTCTCTTGCAGCTTTTGTAAAACAAGAAAATTCTATATTTTCTTTCCAATTATAGAAATCCTTCAACTCTGGTTGATGATAAATCAAAATTAAATAAAATTCTGTATAATTATTTCCATATTTATAAATAGATATAAGTACCAGTAATAATTCTTCAATATCAACTTCAGCATCAATCTTACAGTCATGTTGAAATTATCATAAAGGATTTGTAAAACACTGAAAAGTGCTATCATTACATAAACATTTACAATTTTTTACAAGCATTTTATCAACAAGGCCTATCTTATAATATGGGCCTAGGCAAAAATATTTTTTGGGTCCAAATACAGTATTATAAAAATACAATATTAGAAAATACTACTTGTATTTATTGAATATCTTTGATCAGTACAACTAACATCAACACAAAAAACATTTCACAACATAAAACAAAATTAGAAAATAAAATAATTATGTTGTTTAAATACACAGATAAAACTGTAAAGGCGATATAAACTTCTTAATGCTTTTTCCTGCTTTTTATTTCAAAAAATTTATCTATTATTAATCAAAATCGAACTTATCTACTAATTATGATTTAATTTCCAAGACTGACATAGATGATTTATTCTGATCAAAATAATTCCTTAAATAATTTCTTCATTCAGTTTAAGGTAGAGAAGCACTTATCTATTAGTAATGCTAGTAGTAATAACGTTTTCTAAATTTGGAAAGTGGATATAATTTTATTTCTTGAAGTACAATTTAACAGTTTTTGCAATATTTGCTTGATTTTATGCTCTTTGTACACTACAAAATTGCACCCATTCACCTTGATCTTAATGTTTATTCTTTAGGACCACATTTTATATCGCAAAATGTGTTATGAAAAAATTAATTTACTAGCAATTTTTTTACATTTTCCTTCCAATTTTAAACTTTAAAAATTTTACAGTTTGAGAGGAATTGGTTCCTTAAATTATTTAGGCACTAGGCAAAAACTTTGTTTGTTTACATAAGAATTTAACTGTTGATATATAGGGCCTATGTTTTACAAGTAACAGTTACATTTATCAACTAATATTACATTATTTAGAAATATAGTAGTATTTAAACTTGACAATAGCATTATAAAATGAATGGAATAAAACTTGCTATCTTCTTCTCTAGCCAATATACAGTATATTAATAAATCTGTGTTTTGGAAATAATTAAGAATTGAATATGAAGATTATTGTTTAAAAATTAATCATTTGCAATTTCAACTTGAATATTTTATAAGAATTAAAATTGAAATATCCATAACCAAATAGTTCCTGATATTAAAAGTATTGAAAAAAGTAGCTAGAGACAAAATATTGATATATTTTCCAAAAATATAATTTATAAATGTAATATTAACTTTAGTAGCTATTTTTGATAATGTAATATTAATCATTTCTATTTATTTGCTCATGTTTTTGTTAAACTATTAAATTTTTAATGTTTGAATTTTAAAAACTTTTTATAAGTTTTCAAACTTTACCATATGAATTTTTTATATATACTAACACTTATCACATTTCTTTTGTCTTTTTTGGACCTTACAATGATTCTATTTGTTTGAGATCACATTAATTAGAAGGAAGATTATTATATCTTTCTTCTACAGACTTATTGTATTATGATACACCTATTATCTTTACATTTATTATCTTACCTATTCTTCTAAATATCAAATTATTTCTTATTTAGCATCAAATTACTATGTCTGAAATGAATATCACTATTTTTGATGTAAATGTAAGATTTTGCTTATCACAATTTTCTTAATAAACAATAAATTGTAGCAATTATAAATTAAAATAAATTATAGAATAAAATTTTATTTTATAATCTGTTTTAAATTAATTTTATTCAAAAAAAATATTTATAATATTACAAAAACTATTTCTTTTCAACAAAAAGTTAAATTTAGATAAATAAAATTAAAATTATTGAAAACATTTAACTTTATATATAGGTGTAAAGTCAAGTTTTATGAGCTAATTAACATGTTAGTGAACAAACTAACAAATGTATTTAATATATAACAACCATCTTAAATTTTAAATCTGTGCAGTAATAAGAAAATTATTTGAAAAATTAACTTGCTTTCCTAAATATAAATAAAATATAAAGATTTCCCATTAGTCTATTTATATTGTTTGAAATTTAAAAAAAAAAAAGGAGAAAAATATATAACTTATTTATTTTAGATTTTATATTTAGAAATATGTAAAATAATCAAAAATAAATCAAATATATGTATAACAAATTCACATATAAAAATTAAATTTGATAAATACTACCAGTATTAAAATCAAAATAACTAATGTTTATCAAAGTATTTCATATTTAAAATAAGTTGTTTCAATAAAACTTAACATATTTCATATACATATGAGAAATTATATTAAATAGATTTTTAAAAATAGATTAATTTTTATTATAGATTATTAGATTATTAATAGATTATAGATTATTATTAATAGATTATTAGAATATAAGGATCTATATTTTAAAATACATTATATTATCTTGTAATATATTCATCAGTTTTCTATCTATAAGAATTATAATTATTATAGAAATGTCAAAAATGATGTAATGTGCCAAACACATTCAAAAAGTCTATGAAATTATATGAATAAATACAAATATGTGTATAATTACAGCATAAATTATACTTTATTGTTCAGTATCACTAGATTATTGATGTCATTACAGTTCAATTTTTTTTTTCCAATGATAACATCATATGAATTTTTAAAAAATATTTTCTTTCTTTAAAAAATTATTAATTTCATAAAATAAATTATATTAATTGACTTACAAGTATATAGACTTTCGTTCAAAATAATAATAAAAAAAAAAGCATAAAAAGCTGTGAAAAATATCTGAAATCACAAAATATACAGATATTTATTGACTGCTTAAATATTTGATATCCATAGGATCATTACTAATTTACCATTGGTTATTGTTTGTATCTATTATTTGATTATGTATTTGTATAATTTAATTATAAAAATAATAAATTTGTTTAAAGTTTTTTAAATTAAATCTTTTCAAATTGCAAAATTCATGACAAATTATTACATTATTAGTGAATATTTCTACACCCACAGGACCATCATCATTCATTCAGACTATGAAAATGTTCAGTATAGAGGAAGTGAGAAACAACAGAAACAATATCATGATAACTAAAAAAAAACTTTAATGTATTCAATCAAAAACAAAAATTTCAGCAATTAACAAGTTAAAATTGAAAAATTTAGTAATCTTAATAAGTTATGTGTAAAATTTGAAATGTTTATGTATATACTATAATGCTACTGTACTGTAAAACAGTATTTATGGAAAAACAATTCAGTTGTGAAAATAATTTGTTATTTTGCTTTGCTTTATATCCATTTGTTTATATATTTTTTCTAATTGCTTTAAGCTAACAAAAATCCAAGATGTTTTTCTCATAAAAACACTCGTTATTTTTTCAATATTCTCTCCAAACTGTTTGAATGAAATCTTTTAATAAACTGAATTTCCCCTTCATTATTTTCAGAATCCAGCGAAGTATCATCTGAATCTTCATGATCCTCACTAACAGGTAATAAACATCAATTGCACAGTACAACTATAGGTCCAGTTCACTGTTACAAGCAGTCAACAAAGGTGTATTGTATCTAGTCATACACAATGACTATCGAACAAGAAACATACGTTCAAATGCTTTTTCTTTGTTCTACCTCTCTTCTCTGTTCAAACTGAGAACAATCAAAAACTAACCAATTAATCTAAAAAACCAACCAATAAAACACGTGTGTCTAAAAATAAACTAGAAACATGTGGTTGCAATGCATCTGTAGAAGCGTACAGGTGATACTTTTTTATAAGGTGTCTTAAAATTATGGAATGCTAATATCAGTGATGTAAAAAAATTCCATTCCGTATGATTTGTTCAGATTATAGTATTCATTGTAGAGAGAGTTCAAACGTGGGCAAAATCTATTAAACTCAGTCAAGACCAAAGAAAAGCATTCAGAATAGAGGGTTATTCAGAAACGGAGTCCATTGTATTGTTTTTATTCTAACTGTCAAGCATATTTTAGAAATATTAAAAATAGAAAATATATTTCAAACTCAAAATTTCAATGATGATGAATACATATATATTTACTTGTGATAATTATGTGTAAAGTTAAAATGTTTTATCCTGTTGTATAATCTTTACAAACTAAATAATTTTGTTGAGCATAACATCTTATTGACATTAATATTTTCATTCATTAATAAATTCTATTTTTTGTGTGCTAAAATATGTTAATTTAAGTAATTTGAATGACAGACAACAACATAAAATAAAATTACTCTTTATTTCAATTTATAATTCAGAAGCATAAAATCTATTCAAATTATAAAATTCATACACAACAAATTTTATAAAATTTAGTAGCTGTTTTAAAAATACTATGAATGAATACAAGTAATTGATTTTACATTGTCACATCTTTGGAATGTTAAAACGAAATAATTAATTATTTTAATTATTTTACATATATTGTGCTTCTCTTTCTGTTACAGTTCCATCAGCTTGTCCAAAATAAGCTTTACTTGCCATATTAACAAACAAACCTGTTTCAACAACTCCTAATAATAAATAAATAAGAAAAGAATAAGAAAGTAAATCTATAAATAAATAGTTTAAATTATTTAAAATATAAATTATTATATTTCTGTAGGTTTCTCAATTTCATACAAATAACATTAAATTAATAATAAACATGCATATAAGTATAGGCACAACAATGTATAGGTACAGTACAATAATTTTTCCATTACATTTATAGCTATTTTATCTATTTAGCTATTACTATAA